CCTATGAAGATATTGCAACAACAATAAGGAGGACCTATAGTATGGATGACAAGTCTATGCTTTAGTAATTTCTTGAACACATAAATTAGGGGAATTACACCAGTAGAAAGAAGGAAAATCAGCCTTAGCAGATCTCCCCCTAATCCATGTAAAAGTCCTCATTTAGATTAAATCCAAAGTTTTGTCTTCTTCCCATTGTTGTAAGTGATGGATAATAGAATTCCTTATGTACCATGCAACAAGGTATAACTAATCAAATAAGAGGGGAGGGATTTATCAAGTACTTCATAGCCAAATGTAAAAGGTAAGTGCATTCACACACAAACAATATAGGTATGTAAGCAAGATGCATGATGAGTAAGCATGTAATATTAATGATGGATAAGCATGTGAAATGATATGATGCATGAATATGTGAGAATATATGATGCATGTCATGATATGACAAGATAAGCACTTAAAGGCAAAAAGATAAAAGCAACCACTGAAGAATCAAGCAACAAACAAGACCAGAACATACAAAGACTCTACCCCAAAGAAAATCAAACATTGAAAAATCTCTAAAGTTAAAGTATTAGCTCGACCATCATGAATCCAGAATATGGAAACCAAAAATTCTAGGTTTAGTCCCCAGTGGAGTTGCCAAACTGTTCACGACCTTCAAAAATTTATATGAATTGATAAATTAATGAAAAATTAAGTGTGAAATTTGAAAAAGAAAGGAGTCGCCACTTGTCCAAATTATAAGGTGGAACAAGTCACCTAAAATATGGTCTGCATAAAGATTGGTGTTCGGGAATGCGGCTAGGAATAAGGAAGGGTATACGTGCATCTCACAATCCTTCGTGTAAAACATGGTTGCACACTTTAGCATTTGGGGATTTATTCAACTTTTATTGTTTTTGGGTTTTGATTAAGTGAAAGATAAAAAAAGTAATCAGATGAAATTGCAAAGCTTGTAAATACTTGGACTGAATTGAAACAAAACCTAGATCATGTATGCTTGTTCAATTGTGACAACATTAAAAGTGAAGGAATCAATTTGATTTAATTCGAAATATAAAGGACTCATTTGAAAAGATTTAAAATTTATGGACTAAATTGTTTGATTTCAAAAAGTTTGGGACAAAATTAACGTTAAAATAAAGATAATTGATTTTTTTTAACGTGGTCACTCAAGTAAAATGTAATTTAGCTTGATTGATTAAGAATTAATTAAAATTAATTAAATAATTAATCGAGTTAATCAACCTTTAATTAAAATAATTAGATAAATTTAAATATTCTAATAAAAGACAATTAAATCAATTAATTATTTAAATTAAAATTAATTAAGAACAAACCAATTTCTATTTTATATTAAATCAAATTTGATTATATTTAAGTTTACTATTTTAATCAAGATACTTTTTTTTTGTCCATAATTTCAGGATTGGGTTAACTCGACCCATAAACACAATCCATTGACCCAAATGAGTAAAAATAGATCAAACTTAAGTTAAGAGTTGGGATTTTAGGGATCTATTCAGATAAATTCAATAGGAAAAAGTTGCAACCAAACAACCTAATATCCAATTTTTTTGCAATTTTAACAATAAAGATAATAAAACACAAATCAAAAAAATGCATGAAATGTTCATTATATTCACCTTAATCCATATCATTTTCACTCAAGAACAATAGCAACAATTCCAACAAATAACAAGAAAATGGTAGAGTTTTTGTGTAGTTGATCGGAGTTTGATCTGGGGGAATTCCACCCATAGAATCAGGCCCAAATCATTCCCCTTGTTGCTACCCCTAAAACTCCTTTGATTGAGAGAATATCAATAGAAGAAAGGAGCAACAAATGACTAAACACTAGAAGAGGCCGATGGATTCTAAAGGGCTACCTAATTGATGTGAGATGGAAAAGATGCTTTGTGGCTATGGAGTAATATGGACGAAGAAACTGGTGAGGTCGAGAAGAAGACTGCAGATCTGTCCTACTACTTATGATGCCACAAACGTCAAGAGATCAAAGGAGAAGATGATCGAAGGCACAAAGAGAGGTTGCGTTGCTATTAAGAAAGATGATGGTGATGGTCACTAGGAAAAATGGTAGGCCTAGAGAGAGCCTATGCATGAGTGGATGTGGATGTGCAAAAGGGAAAGGAATCCAGAGGCTGGAAGGATCTAGAAGCTCTATCTTTTTTTGGATGCCGCCTTCCCCCAAAATGAAGAAACCCCTCCCTAAAATGTTTTGTACAGTTAGGGTTTTATTGTTTTCTTTTTGGGTGAGAATGGGCTAGACATTGGTTGGGTTAAGACTCGAATTAAATGGCTAGTGGGCTCAATATTTGGGTTTGGGCAGGATTTGTTGGTTTGTTTTGATAGATTTCACCCCCCACTTTATAATTTCTTTATTTGAGTCCTTTTCTTTTTCCTTTCTTGAATTTCTGCACAAAAAATTTTTCCACTTACATGCATAATCTAAAATGAAATAAAACAAATTAGTTTAATAGTGAGAAAATTTTTAAAATTTTTGTATTTTGTTTTTGCAATTTTATAATTTTTATGAATTGTTGACTAATTTTAAATTTTTATATATATATTATGAAAAGTCTAAGTAAACCAAATGAAAAGTCGGGTTATGAAAATAAGGTGCTTTTGAAGTTGTTGGCCAATAGGTTAAGGAAAGTGATTAGCTCAATAATAAGCCTATGAAAGATTGCATTCGTTAGGGGAAGATAGATCTTGGATGGGATTGTGATCACAAATGAGGTCATCCATGATGCGCAAAAAAGGAAGAAGCAAGTTCTAGTGTTCAAAGTGGATTTTTAGAATGCCTATGATAGTGTGAATTGGAATTTCCTAGATTATATGATGGGGAGGATAAGGTTTAATGTTAAATGGAGAGGATAGATAGCAGAATGTCTCAAATAAGCTTCAATATCATTCTTGGTGAATGGTAGTCCTACAACTGAATTTCCTATGTCAAAAGGGTTGAGGCAAGGTGACCCAATAGCCCCCTCCCCCCCCCCCCCTTTTTTTTTTGATTTTAGCAAAAGCCTTAAATAGGTTAGTATCGAGAGCAAGGGAGGAAAATCTGTTCAAAGGTGCTCAAGTAGGTTCTGTTGATCTATGTATTGCACATTTACAGTTTGCCAATGACATTATATTATTTTGTAAGGCAACAGAAAACAATGTTTGGGCAATTAAGTGTATTATGTGATGCTTTGAATTTATCTCTAGAGTAAAGGTCAACTATTATAGAGCTCTTTATATGGGATTAATATTAAAAAGAGCAAATTGGATGTCATTGCAAAAAAACTTAATTGCATTGTGGACACACTACGTTTCAAGTACTTGGGAGCTCCTATAGGTGTAAACACAAGGAAATTTACTTCTAGAGACCGAGAATGGAATGCTTGAAACATCATTTGTCCAAGTGGAGGTGTAACTTGCTATCCTTTGCAAGGCACATTATCCTTCTTAATTTTTTCCTTTCAAGTATTCTAGTCTTCTACTTCTCTATATTTAAAGCCTCCAAAAAGGTAAGCTGCTCACTTTCTCGTTTACAATGTCAATTTTTAGGGGGGGAAGTGAGGAAAAACAAAAAATTGCATGGGTTAGTTGGAAGAGAGTTTGTTTACGCAAAAAAAGGGAGGCTTGGTATTAAAGATTTGAAGACATTTAACTTAATTGTTTTAGGTAAATGGAGATGGAGGTTTTTGAAGGAGAAAGATAGCTTATGGAGACAAGTTATTGTCGCATGCTATGGGTTTGGTGGAAGGGGTGAGTGGGACGGTTGCAGGTGTACTACAAGCAGATCTTACTGGTGGAAGGATATATAGGGGTTGATTGGACCAAGCCTGATAAAAATGGGTGGGTGAGTGAGGGAATAATTAAGATTGTGGGAGATAGCAGTACTACTTTATTCTAGGAGGATAATTGGTTAGGAGGAATATCATTAAAAAAAGAGTTTGAGATGCTATATAGAAAAGCGAGAAATAAAAGGGTTATAATTAATAGCATGGGAACTTGGAGAAATAAGGAATGGGAATGGGAATGGAGTTGATGTAGAAATCTATTTGTATGGGAATGTTCTTTTTTGTAGGTATTAAAAGACAAACTTACAGCTATAGAAATCAAACAAAACATGCAAGACCAATGAATTTGGAAGCATGAAAGCAATGGGATATACTTGGTCAAATCGGTTTATAATGTGCTACACTCAAAAATCAATGTGTAGGATAATGAGGCCTTTTCCCTACTATGGGATAAGGTAATTCCACTAAAGATGTTAGCATTTGCATGAAAGGCACTACAAGATTAAATTTCATCCAAAATCAATCTACACAAATGGGGAGCACTTTAGGATAAGAATGACAATATCTGCTCACTTTGTGGAAAGTATGAAGAAAGCTTTAACCATATCTTGTTCTCTTGTCAATTTTCATGGAAAATTTGGTCTTCTTGTTATGTGTGGGTAGGGCTTCCTTATAATAGCTCATCAAGATGGATGGGTTCATTTTCAACACCACACTAGAATGATGGAGAAAGCCTCATTTTGGAAAGTATAGAAAATGCTTTGGTTTTTTGTCATATGATCAATTTGGCTTTGGGAGATTCAAAATTTGATCAGCAACTATGTGGACAGTTTCAAAAAGGTATTTGGACTAGTAAAGTTTCATATGTTTAACTAGATTAAAGTCCATCTTTATCCTGATATTTCTTTAGAGTTGTGGTTAAATTCTCCAAGGAGAGCAATATTAAATTAGTCTACACTAAACGTAACTTCGCATTTTGCATAATTGTGTGGGTTATTTTCTTGTTATATCCCTCTATTTTTATTGTTTTATAAATGTCGGATGATTGTCTTATGTAATAGACAAGAGTATCCTTTGTCCTCTATTTTAATAGTAACTTCTTTTTGTTGATAAGAAAAAAAAAAGTATAGTACTTATCTAAATAGATAAAATACTTATAAATGATAGGTGTGCCCATATCCAATGCTCAGTCTTATTTCCGTCTTCCTCCCCAATCTTTACTTGATTTTGGCAGCTATTACCAATCTCCTTGCACATATTCAATTCTCTTATTTCAGTTTATACTTTCAAAGATTTTCAAAATTTTAAAAGGGCAAAATGTAAAACCCAAAAAATAAATAAATAAATAAATAAAACTCGTAAAAAAAAAAAAAACTGCGTATTTTACGGCTATGCCCAGGCCCAAAGATTCTCGTTTGGTTGGGTTCTAATTTCCTTCTAGTTTTCGGCCCAGGCATTTTCAAGTATAGCCTCAAGTAGCTACAACTTACAAGCCCAGCTAATAGCTGACTCTTTCACGCTTCTACTTCCCCAGCCTCTAGAATCAAGCGACAATGCCGCCCGTAGCCTTCCAACGCCTGCTCGCCGCCGCCCTAGGGAAAGGCCAGAGGAACCTCCTCCCCCCGAGACTGTGGGCGTTCTCCTCTTCTGAATTATTCTTCTGCTTCACCCACCCGGCATTGAATTGTACCCACTTCTCCACCGTACCGGAACCCCCAAATACTACCCCCTCTTCCGTTCCATCCTTCAACCGGACGCGAACCCGAACGCCTCTTGAAACCCAATTCGAATCATGGATTCAAAAGCTGAAACCCGGGTTTACCGCTGCTGACGTCGACGCGGCATTGCGGGCTCAGTCGGACGCTGATCTCGCCATCGATATCTTCCGGTGGACGGCCTTGCAGCGGGGTTACAGGCACACGGATGGGACCTACCTCACCATGATAAAAATCCTCATTTCCGGCAAGCGCTACCGCCACGCTGAAACCCTAGTCGAAGAGGTCGTTGCCGGCGCCTGCCCGGCCAGCATTCCCCTCTATAATGCCATCATTAGATTCTGTTGTGGTCGTAAGTTCCTCTTTAATCGCGCTTTTGATGTTTACAAGAAAATGCTTAGATCAGATGATTGCAAGCCCACCCTTGAGACGTACACTCTGCTCCTTAATTCTTTGCTCAGGAGATTCAATAACCTGAATGTTGCTTATGTGTATTTGCATGCGGTCCGGTCCATGACAAAACAGATGAAAGCTTTAGGAGTTATACCGGATACTTTTGTGTTGAACATGATAATTAAGGCTTATTCAAAGTGTCTTGATGTTGATGAGGCAATTAGAGTTTTTCGTGAGATGGGGTTGTACGGATGTGTACCAAATGGCTATACATACAGTTATATAATCAAGGGTTTGTGTGAGAAGGGGAGGGCTGGACTGGGTTTAGGCTTTTATAAGGAAATGAGGGATAGATTGTTGGTGCCAAGAGGGAGTGCATACATGGTGTTGATTTGTAGTCTTGCAATTGAGAGGAAGGTAGACGATGCAGTTGAGATCATTTCTGATATGTTGAGGAATTCCATGGCTCCAGATGTGTTGACATATAAGACTGTGTTGGAAGAGTTGTGTAGGGGAGGGAGGAGTCATGATGCTTTTGAATTGTTGGAGGAGTGGAGGAAAAAGGATGCCTGGATGGGGGAAAAGAACTACAGGACTTTGTTGAACACATTGCGTTTTATAGATCAAGAATGATCTTATCTTCGTACTATGTTCTTTGGTATTGTTCAAAGAACTACGTGTATATGCTCAATACAGCCCCAAACTGAAGTACTAGATATTAATCTGATGTTAGGACCTCTAGCTGCAGCTTGATTTGTTAACAGATTGGATTTGTGACCCATTCAGTGTTCATTTAAGTGAATTCAAATTTTATTTGTTGTCTTCTAGCATGGGAATCTGAACAAGTAGAAAATGAGAGAAGGAAGATGTTTCTCTTTCTCCAAATGATATGGATGCTATGCAAATGAAAATTGACTTATTATGCACTTATATGCTGTAGAAGTAAAGGCTACTGTAGTATACTATTTTTCTAGGACAAGGACCTGCATTACATCTCTGGAGCAATTTGAATGGTGAAATCTGTGTGCTTTAGCACTGGTTTTTTCTATAACCAAGATTCTGAGTTTCTACTAGCAGAGAGCTGAACACTTGGAAAGTTTCTCAAACTGATGTTTGGGAGTTTGGGTAAACACGAGATGATTATGACTAAGACTTGCATTTTCTTATCCATAGAATAGAAGTGATGATTGGAAAGTTTCCATTTGGTACATTGTTATAACTTTCAGTTGATGTTGATATTTTTGGGTATCATATTCCGTGGTCAGTCATATCTGTTGGAGAGACGTTATGGCTGATATAAAAAATGCTACAACTGGCTGTTATATCCTGTTATTGCCTTTCGTTGCATGCATGATCATACCTCCAATCATTGCGGCATGTTAAAGTTTGGGGTGTGTATGATGAGTTTTGCTTGTACAATCAACAATGGAATGTTCCGCGTGAGGAAGGAGAGAATACTTGCCATATACCTTGTATGAGTTTAGAGTGAATGAAATAAGAGAGGGTTGTCGGATGAATGGTTCAAAAAAGTTACTAATAAAGTTTTGTACAGCTATATTTGTTGGTTCCGAGTGAATTTGATTGAATATAAGTCTTGTTTTCTACTTCTTTTTGTATTTAATTACTAATAGTAGGTGTTTTACATTTTTGTTGTTCATCCGTGTTTCAGGCGTTAAAATCATAACATCCCAAGTTTTTGGTTGCTTTTACTAATAAACTAGTAGTATTTAATGCAAAATGCACATCGAATGATCTTAAATTCTAAATGCTCGCTTTTTTTTGTTTTTGTTTTATTATTATTATT